CCCCATCTATTCTCTGCCTCCTGAGTCCCAGCTGATCGGGAGAGAATGGGGATTTTGCAGTAACCTTCCCCTCGAGTCAGGAGGGAATGGAGATTCTACAATATCCTTCCCCTGCCGCCCCCACCAAGCCACACCACGCCCACCAAGCCATGCTCACAGAGCTGGTAGAAAATTTTTTGAATCCCACCACTGAACAAATGTCACTTATGTTAATCACCTAGAAACAAAATTAAAAATATCGCCCATAATATAGCAGCTTCTGCATCCAATGCTAGCAAGAAACATGTATCTTTATATCTTGAGTTCTGAAAAATTGAGAAAAACCCAAACAAGGCAATAGAAATGGGGGATATTTGTTATAAAAGAAATATACAGAAATATTATTGTATTACAAATTAGTGGGTGTGTTTGAATTTTAGGTACACTCTCTTAAGTTCTTGAAAAACATTGAACTCATCAACCATATACTATTTTCAGGCCTTGAGGTTGGGCAAGGAGAGTATTTTGCCTGGCACCAAATTTAAGGCAACACCACGGTGGTCCTTGCAGCTTGTTCTTTATTTTATGTACCTTCTTCAATGAGTGGGTGAGGGAACTAAGCAGGAAGACTGAGCTCTTGTCCATTTTTTGTTGGGAATACGTCCCACTGAATTCATATAGCAATTGGAAGAAAATTGTTTTTAACAGTATTTCCAGCTATAATAGAAGTTAAATTGCTAGACACAGGCACAGAAGCTCTGAGGCTTGGCAGCATTGCATATGTGACCACTGCAGTGGGAGAGGGACAGCATGAAGATATTCTTCACTCAGGACAAAATTTGCTTAGGAATAATCTTGTAGATGTCTTAAGTAACTACAGTAAAATACTTCTCATCCAGTTTGAATGAGCAGTACTTTCAAAAAATATCATTCTGAAGAGAAAAATATTTCATGGGATTTTTTTTTTCAGTGCCTCTTAATTTTTAAAGGGAAGAAATTGAAAATGGTTGTTGAGGGACGAAGCAACAAAAGGGAATTGGACTTTGTGTGTGTGTGTGTGTGTGTGTGTGTGTGTGTGTGTGTGTGTGTTCCATAGTACCTCTCTCTTGATTTTCATCTGATCTGCACCCCTCAATTTCTTCTGATATTTTATCTAGCATTTATAACTTCTATTATAATTTAGCCTGCCTGGATTTGAGATGTTCTGTGAGCGATTCCATTGCCTCTTGTTTCTTTGTTCCTTAATGTTTGTCTGAAGTATTGAGTTTAGCCGTGTGGGGACAAAAATCTTGGAAACCCTGGCTTCTATCAGGCATTTTGGATATTGCAAGGTCAGTTTGGAAAAAGCCGTCTTGGTTTAAGTTTTATTTTTACCTTTCTTACATCATACATTTTAATTTCCACTTAATGATACCTTTGGTCCCAGCTGAGAGAGGAGACCCTGCACTTCCTTCAGAGGCTGGAGTATTTATTCAGTTTAAATCCTGCTCTTCTTTTCAAGCAAGTACACAAGGTAGCTAAACAAAATACAGCGATAAACATTTTTAAAACTTAATTTTAAACTTAATAATGAAAACTTTGATGAAGGACATGCTGTTTAGCTGTTATTCTAAATGCAGACAGAGTGAAAATAAACACAGCTTTCCTTTTTTTGTAGTAGTAGTAGTAGTAGTTGCTTTTTATATTTTTGAGAAGATGGAAACTGTCTTAATTTGTAGTTCTAAAACTTTTATTATTAAAATGTATACTTGAAAATCTACAAAGAGCAAACGCAAAATTAAAAGGAATGTTTTGAATCAAACAGCAAGATTGTGGCTTTGTTGCTCTGAAGCTCTTAACTGAGAATGAAAGGAAGGATCTCTCTTCTTTGAAAATCTGAGACTAATTGCAATATGATTATGAAAATTCTCATGATCGTATAAAATACTTTTGAATCTCCTTGTATTCCCCCCCCCCCCCACAGCTTGAGTTTACTGAGTGATAAGAAGGATCTCAACAAACGTGAACGAATGGAGCTGAAACGCCGGACTATCCTGCTACTGTATTACCTATTAAGATCCCCCTTCTATGACAGATACTCTGAGTAAGTCTGCCAGCTTCCACAGAAATAAATGTCCTCTTGACTACCTCTATAAATAATATACAGGACCATAATTTCTGCCTAAGCCAAATTGAGATGATACATTTTTGGATGGCCAGAAGCATTAAAAGCTAGTTCAGAAAGGAGCATTACATCTATAGGGCTCTCATCCTGGAGATGAGAGAAGGAACGAGGTCATCCTTGGGTACCTTCTCAGGGTCTGGCCCCAAGCTCCCCACTTTGGGCAGCCTTTGGTAAAGACAGTGCACTCACCCTGCTGCTTCCTCTGCCATTGCTAGCATGAGGACTTAAGGTACAAGGAGCACCATCTGCATCTCATCGGAAGGTCAGATGCACTAAGAGACACTCCATCCTCCCTTATTCCTTGGCACATCAACTCTTCCATCCCCCAACACTAGCCTCCCAAAATTCTTCCTGGCTTCCGACCATAAAAGTGGCTTCTTAGGCAACTAAGAGTCTCTCAAAGCCAACATATCTGTCTTTGTTTCAAGGCAAATAATATCCATCTCTGCTTCAGAAAGTACCTTTGTTAATGGCAAAGTCCCCAGATTTGTCTTTAGGGAATGGAAGGCCATCCTAAGATCTGTTGCTGCAATCACTACTAGCAGCTAATAATAATGTTGTTATTATTAGCACCGTTATACTTCATGGGAGTCTTGCACAAGCATTTATTATTTTAGAAAGCTATAGTTTGAGAACCTCTGACTAAGATAGAAACGTAGAGGCCTCTGAAATCCCTGACCTTGCTGTAGTTCAGGAAAGCATTTATTGTTGGGAAAGAAGCCACTAACTTCCTTTCCTTGTCTTTTTTTTTCCCATATGCCTTTGTAGGGGTAGGATCCTCTTTCTTCTGCGCTTGTTGGCAGATTATGTCCCTGGTGTCGGCCTAGTGACTCGTAAGTAGAAGTCTGCCAGTTCCCCCCCCCCCCAAAAAAGATAACGTTTATCGGTGAAGGAAATCATGAGGATGGAGTCTCCTCCTCTCTGTATGCTTGTCTGAAGAATCTCTGTATATTTACATGAGGGAGAGTTGAAATGCCTATAGATCAGGGGTGTCAAACTTGTGGCATCATGTTGTCACATGATGTATCGCGACTTTCCCCCCCCTTTGCTAAACTGGGCGTGGTCAGCACATGACACATCTGGCCTGCAGGCCGTGAGATTGATACCCCTACAATAGATGAAGGCAAAGTTGGAAATGTTGAATTTGTTTGATGTCGTCACTGAGGATTTTGAAATGTCTCCCCAGAATCTCTAATTGGTTCCTCAGTTATATTGACAGTGAGACATTGGACTTGTTTTATCAGGCTTGCTTAGTGAAGGATGTCTGGGATCTACAAAACCTTATCTTCCATTATCATGTTAACAGTCAGAGAGCCTAAATGTTTTGGATCTAGCATCTGGAAATTTCTAGGCAATATCTAGAAATGCAGGTTATTACATGAATAAGATAAATGCATAACATTCAGGGTTCCCCCACTCACCTGTAAGGTTGCTACTTGTTCTTACCCAGGCTTCCCGAGAGCATGAACCGGTCTCCTTTTCTCGACAAAAAACCCTTTTATTAATTTACTGTGGATTCTGCTCATTTGCATCCAGCAATGTCTTTCAAGCAATGTCTTTCAAGGGAGGATTTACAGTTACAGACTTTATCTGGCTTGGAGAGCTGACAGGACGATATTTGCAAAACTTGGCAAGGAGTCTCGGAGAGTCACAAACCAATTAAGCAAACTAATTATCTCCTGCAAATGCCATTCCCCTTTCGCTCCTCTTTTATTTCCTCTGGGAGGGGCCATTCATCATCCACCTATGGCCTTCCTCCCAAGTCGACCACTGTTCTTTAGCTGTTCCCTTCATCTGGCTACTCTGTGCATGCGCACACTGGGAACTGTTCGTCTGCCTCACTGGTATCTGACTCCGAAGACAGCTGATAACTGGCATATAGCCTTGGCCCCCTCTATGTCTCCAACACGGAGCCTTCCTCAGACTCCAGGACTGGCTCATGTCCCTCCCCAACCTCCTCATTATCCGAATCTGCTGTCAGCTCCTCTGGCCGCTAGCAGGCTACAGCACTACTTTTCTCAAAAATTAGGCTGGGTAACAGGAACCTAGAAACTGTGGTAAGGATTTATGACTTCTTTGACATTCCTATCACATCACCTGCTAGGCTCTGTGTGGATTAATTTAGTTTAGGGGATTAAGAAGTGTATTTAATACTTGGTTAACTTATTTCAGTTTGCCCTCTTTTTTTCTGTTGTCAAGGTTCTTGCCCAAACATATCCTCAGGTGACTTTTTCCTCTACAGGATAATTTAAAGGCTCTGGGAGGGAAGGGTGTCATGAACAGCAAAAATTTGGAAATCCAGTTAGCAACTTGCTACTTTAAAATGTCTCCCCCTCTCCCCCCCCCCTCTTTCAATTTCAGGACCTTTGATGGATTACTTGCCAGCCTGGCAGAAAATTTATTTCTATAATTGGGGCTGATCTGGCTTCGGCTTGAACTACTGCAACCAGAGAAGATTCGAGCTGAAAGCTTGTGCTGACAGAATGACTTTATACAGAGGAAAACAATCATGAGACTTTGGGGAATGCGGGGGCGGGGAAGCAGCAGCACATCTCACTGTGACTTGTTATTAATGGTTTGAGAGAGAAGAATAAGGCTTTTTATTTTTTATTTTAAAATGCCTTCCCGTCAGTACTACAAAGGCGGCTTAAAACGTGTATGCTGTTTCCTTCCTATTTGGTAATAACTGGTTTCAGAGCATGGGACTTGGGTTTGGGAGGGGTGCGGAACTCTTTTTTGTAAGCATTTTGTACAGTTGTGGATTAATAAAGCCAGGGGACTGCGGTGCCTTTGGGCTAATTGGCCTGGTCTCTTGAATGCTCAGTCGTGAATCCACAGGAAGTAAACCAATGGGAAGCAGAAAGATTTCAAAGCAACGCTAGTAGGACATGGTATTTTTAAATAGATTTCCAGTACAGGGGTAATTAAAATATAGCTGACTCTGGGGCAGAAACGGAAGAGAAATGCTCTATTTGTAGACAAATTCTCAAAACTATTGAGTTACAGATATTCATATATGGCTGGGAATTGTTTATGGTGCTTGTGTCATTAACTTCTGGGGAGAAGGATTCCGTAGGTATCACCTTTCACATTATGGTAAATCTTTGTTTACAGAATTTCTTGCCGCTTCGAAGGTCTCTGTTGCTGTTAAATTCACAAGAGTATTTCTTCAAAAGTTAAGAAGCCTGTTTTGTATGGTAATTTCTGGAAACATATCTCAAAGGGTGCTTATGGATAAAAGATGGGGAGNATTTTATCTAGCATTTATAACTTCTATTATAATTTAGCCTGCCTGGATTTGAGATGTTCTGTGAGCGATTCCATTGCCTCTTGTTTCTTTGTTCCTTAATGTTTGTCTGAAGTATTGAGTTTAGCCGTGTGGGGACAAAAATCTTGGAAACCCTGGCTTCTATCAGGCATTTTGGATATTGCAAGGTCAGTTTGGAAAAAGCCGTCTTGGTTTAAGTTTTATTTTTACCTTTCTTACATCATACATTTTAATTTCCACTTAATGATACCTTTGGTCCCAGCTGAGAGAGGAGACCCTGCACTTCCTTCAGAGGCTGGAGTATTTATTCAGTTTAAATCCTGCTCTTCTTTTCAAGCAAGTACACAAGGTAGCTAAACAAAATACAGCGATAAACATTTTTAAAACTTAATTTTAAACTTAATAATGAAAACTTTGATGAAGGACATGCTGTTTAGCTGTTATTCTAAATGCAGACAGAGTGAAAATAAACACAGCTTTCCTTTTTTTGTAGTAGTAGTAGTAGTAGTTGCTTTTTATATTTTTGAGAAGATGGAAACTGTCTTAATTTGTAGTTCTAAAACTTTTATTATTAAAATGTATACTTGAAAATCTACAAAGAGCAAACGCAAAATTAAAAGGAATGTTTTGAATCAAACAGCAAGATTGTGGCTTTGTTGCTCTGAAGCTCTTAACTGAGAATGAAAGGAAGGATCTCTCTTCTTTGAAAATCTGAGACTAATTGCAATATGATTATGAAAATTCTCATGATCGTATAAAATACTTTTGAATCTCCTTGTATTCCCCCCCCCCCCCCCCCACAGCTTGAGTTTACTGAGTGATAAGAAGGATCTCAACAAACGTGAACGAATGGAGCTGAAACGCCGGACTATCCTGCTACTGTATTACCTATTAAGATCCCCCTTCTATGACAGATACTCTGAGTAAGTCTGCCAGCTTCCACAGAAATAAATGTCCTCTTGACTACCTCTATAAATAATATACAGGACCATAATTTCTGCCTAAGCCAAATTGAGATGATACATTTTTGGATGGCCAGAAGCATTAAAAGCTAGTTCAGAAAGGAGCATTACATCTATAGGGCTCTCATCCTGGAGATGAGAGAAGGAACGAGGTCATCCTTGGGTACCTTCTCAGGGTCTGGCCCCAAGCTCCCCACTTTGGGCAGCCTTTGGTAAAGACAGTGCACTCACCCTGCTGCTTCCTCTGCCATTGCTAGCATGAGGACTTAAGGTACAAGGAGCACCATCTGCATCTCATCGGAAGGTCAGATGCACTAAGAGACACTCCATCCTCCCTTATTCCTTGGCACATCAACTCTTCCATCCCCCAACACTAGCCTCCCAAAATTCTTCCTGGCTTCCGACCATAAAAGTGGCTTCTTAGGCAACTAAGAGTCTCTCAAAGCCAACATATCTGTCTTTGTTTCAAGGCAAATAATATCCATCTCTGCTTCAGAAAGTACCTTTGTTAATGGCAAAGTCCCCAGATTTGTCTTTAGGGAATGGAAGGCCATCCTAAGATCTGTTGCTGCAATCACTACTAGCAGCTAATAATAATGTTGTTATTATTAGCACCGTTATACTTCATGGGAGTCTTGCACAAGCATTTATTATTTTAGAAAGCTATAGTTTGAGAACCTCTGACTAAGATAGAAACGTAGAGGCCTCTGAAATCCCTGACCTTGCTGTAGTTCAGGAAAGCATTTATTGTTGGGAAAGAAGCCACTAACTTCCTTTCCTTGTCTTTTTTTTTCCCATATGCCTTTGTAGGGGTAGGATCCTCTTTCTTCTGCGCTTGTTGGCAGATTATGTCCCTGGTGTCGGCCTAGTGACTCGTAAGTAGAAGTCTGCCAGTTCCCCCCCCCCCCAAAAAAGATAACGTTTATCGGTGAAGGAAATCATGAGGATGGAGTCTCCTCCTCTCTGTATGCTTGTCTGAAGAATCTCTGTATATTTACATGAGGGAGAGTTGAAATGCCTATAGATCAGGGGTGTCAAACTTGTGGCATCATGTTGTCACATGATGTATCGCGACTTTCCCCCCCCTTTGCTAAACTGGGCGTGGTCAGCACATGACACATCTGGCCTGCAGGCCGTGAGATTGATACCCCTACAATAGATGAAGGCAAAGTTGGAAATGTTGAATTTGTTTGATGTCGTCACTGAGGATTTTGAAATGTCTCCCCAGAATCTCTAATTGGTTCCTCAGTTATATTGACAGTGAGACATTGGACTTGTTTTATCAGGCTTGCTTAGTGAAGGATGTCTGGGATCTACAAAACCTTATCTTCCATTATCATGTTAACAGTCAGAGAGCCTAAATGTTTTGGATCTAGCATCTGGAAATTTCTAGGCAATATCTAGAAATGCAGGTTATTACATGAATAAGATAAATGCATAACATTCAGGGTTCCCCCACTCACCTGTAAGGTTGCTACTTGTTCTTACCCAGGCTTCCCGAGAGCATGAACCGGTCTCCTTTTCTCGACAAAAAACCCTTTTATTAATTTACTGTGGATTCTGCTCATTTGCATCCAGCAATGTCTTTCAAGCAATGTCTTTCAAGGGAGGATTTACAGTTACAGACTTTATCTGGCTTGGAGAGCTGACAGGACGATATTTGCAAAACTTGGCAAGGAGTCTCGGAGAGTCACAAACCAATTAAGCAAACTAATTATCTCCTGCAAATGCCATTCCCCTTTCGCTCCTCTTTTATTTCCTCTGGGAGGGGCCATTCATCATCCACCTATGGCCTT